TGGGAATGTTGTGCTACTTGTTAATGTCTAGTCTTGGCTTATTTCCATTTGTGTGTTAGCAATTTTAGCCTGTCTGAATCCAAATAACATTAAGACCAGAAAAGACAGGATGAGACAAAAAAATAGAAAAACAAAAAGAGGTGAGATCAAGACCTGTTTCTGTTCTGAACCGGAAACACAATAAGCGTTACAAAATCAGCTAAAGAGAGTTGAAGTTTCAGATACAGAAAAAGGACAACGCTTTGGAAAAATTCCATCAATAATTCAAGGCCAGACAAGTTGCAGATGCAGTTCTGACGTGACGGTGACGAAAGACAGGCAGAGGCGTGGGCAGCCATGAAGGACCCCGCAGCAGCTCAACTCTATCTGTAAACTGTTGCCTGGCAACAGCACTAATGCTCGCTGGCCTGCGGGCTGCAGTGTGCTGCCTCTGGCCTCATCCAGGGATAAGGCTCTTGTTTGCTGTTAGACTCAGGCTTGCACTGCCAGAAACAGGCCTGCCACTCAGTAATGAAGTCTGCAGAGGATGCTAGGAAAAAAAGGGGCCACGTCCTGGCAGGAATAAGACCAATTTTAGCATTTTAATATGACACATCTTTATAAATCAGGCCAGGGTATGTAAGTGGCTAGAAATGACGTTTCAGCCATTCTGTGCAACCACTGAGGCCATAATGGTGCAGCACGATAAGATACAAGGGAGTACAACAATTAACGATCACTATGCCTCCATTTCAGGGTTTTAATAGCAATTAATTATACTTAATGTCACTGGCTCACTGTTTGTATACCGTCTGTTCCAGTCAAGTCCCAATCCTGGTTTTCAGTCCAGCTGCAGAACTATATGTGTCAGTGGAGCCAAGAACCTGATTAAATGAAGAAATAAATCATAATCTGTTGAGAGCCCTGGCCTCGCCAAAATGCCAGCAGGGCCGATATTCAGCTCAACATTGCTACCTCTTCTGCAACACTGACTAATTAAAAACACCCAAAAGCAGAATATATCCATAAAACACATGTTTCTATTAAAAGGAAACCAGTGTTAAGGCATCATATAAAGCAAAAATCAACTACTTCTCTGCTGTTACACACTGGTCAAAGAAGGGCATCTCTTTTTCCAAAGACACTCAGGCAGATGAATAAAAAAATTATCTTGGTATAAACTGTGCTAAAGTTCAGATTTCTCTGACGCACATACCCAATGGTTACACACTGGTCAAAGAAGGGTCTCTCTCTTTTTCCAAAGACACTCAGGCTGATGAATAAAAAAATAATCTTGGTATAAACTGTGCTAAAGTTCAAGCTAAACTTCACTGCAGAACATTCACACACATCAAAATCAACTAAACTCCCAAAAAAAAAAAAAAACTGTCCAAAGCCATTTCTTGACTTTGCAGGTGCATTCACAGCTGGATGGGGGATACGGTGGTGCGAGAATCTCAGCACAACACTCCCTGGTGGCCCTTCAGGGTCTCATTCTCCTATACTATTTACAAAGTAAAGAGGCCAGCCTCCACACATCAGCACCTTCTCTGAAACATAAAAGGGTATAGTACATATTTTACTTCCGTAAAAACAGAACCAGCACCATACAATTACCAATAGTGTAGACAAGTGAAAAGTTTTGAAGCAGGAATCTTTGAATTCAAAATCCTTTAGATGTGAGTCACTTTACACCCAGGAGAAGTTACGCATTTTAAAATTCTGCAAATCACACTTTGTCCTTATATCTACAGATAAACGTGTTTACTGTTACACACTGTATATCAAATGTGTGTGTGAAGGATCTTGACTTTGCAGGTGCATTCACAGCTGGATGGGGGATACGGTGGTGCGAGAATCTCAGCACAACACTCCCTGGTGGCCCTTCAGGGTCTCACTCTCCTATACTATTTACAAAGTAAAGAGGCCAGCCTCCACACATCAGCACCTTCTCTGATGCAAACTAGCATACTGTTGTGATGAGGTGTAAAGGAGTCTCTAAGAAGATCAGAGGAGGTGAAGCATGAGGTGCACCTATGGACACCCAGGGCCCTGAGTGACTAAGACACCAGACTAAGAAAAACATAAAAGGGTATAGTACATATTTTATGTAAATGCAGCCATTTCATGTTCAAAATCAACTAAACTCCCAAAAAAAAAACTCCTAAACACAAGGTGTCCAAAGCCATTTCTTATCCAACCTGAAAAACTACTTCACACAGTTTTCTACACTATGAAAGTCCAAAAACCACTATTTTAATATTGATGGAAGGTTTTGAGAGAAACTTTCCAGTCCAGAGGTGGAACAGTCAGTTATTCACCAAGCTTCTAAGATTCTGCAAGCACACAAGGGATATTTTCAATTAAAGAAAGTCCCTGGACGGTGCAATTTTAGTTAAAACATTTATATTCTTGTTTTTGTCTTTTGAACAAGGAGGAACATTTTCCTACATTTCCGTAAACCAGACTTTTAATAAAGGTGAAAAGGAAGAAAGTGAACTGGGAGCAGGTGCTGACTTTGCAGGTGCATTCACAGCTGGATGGGGGATACGGTGGTGCGAGAATCTCAGCACAACACTCCCTGGTGGCCCTTCAGGGTCTCATTCTCCTATACTATTTACAAAGTAAAGAGGCCAGCCTCCACACATCAGCACCTTCTCTGAAACATAAAAGGGTATAGTACATATTTTACTTCCGTAAAAACAGAACCAGCACCATACAATTACCAATAGTGTAGACAAGTGAAAAGTTTTGAAGCAGGAATCTTTGAATTCAAAATCCTTTAGATGTGAGTCACTTTACACCCAGGAGAAGTTACGCATTTTAAAATTCTGCAAATCACACTTTGTCCTTATATCTACAGATAAACGTGTTTACTGTTACACACTGTATATCAAATGTGTGTGTGAAGGACTCTAGCTCCACTCTACAACAGAGTCCACAGTGTGGTCATAACAGTTTGCCCTTTAAATTTGATTAAGCCTGTAGTCTCTCTCTGTTGTTACTGGCTGTTTGTCACCAAAGAATGAATGGCACAGGAGAAAGAAGGAAAACAACTATGCAGATTTTAAAAACGTACACATTCTGCTATTTTTAATGTATCGGGAGGCAACATTTTCCATGGTGGCAAGAAGCTTTTTTTGGTCTGGCACTTAAGAGCAACCCCCGTCCAACATTTTTAATGATGGCAATAACAGTGTGGAAAACACCTGAGGGTTTGAAAGTACACCACTTTCCACAGTGTAACAATGTATTATTATAGCTCAGAACCAATATAATTTTCCTTTTGGAGTGACAAAGTGTGTACACTTTAGCATATGCAGTCTGGCAGGTGGCTGAATGGAGGATGTGTCGATGTGATGCTTAAACTCTGGGTGTTTAAACTGTCTTGTTATGAGACAAATTAGCCGTGGTTAACTTGTCTTACCTGAAACAACGTGATTATATTTTATGTTAAACAAAAAATAAACACATTGGTTAAGACAGTATCTAAGCAATAACTTTAAAAAAAGATTTAGAAAATGGTGACAACGTGGTGCTCCAATGCTCTTAACTTAAAGATAATTTAGGTGAACAGTAGACCTGGATGCTGCAGAGCCTCCCTCTCTCTGGGATACTACAATTACAGTTTAATGCCCTGATCCCCGAGTCCAGACTTTGCTCATAAATACATTTTACCCCAGGGCTACTGACTGCCCCAAGTTTATTAAATGGTTTTTGGAAAAGAAAAAAAAAACTTGCCAAGCACTGCAGCCGACCGATTGAAAATACAAGTACGGGGCAGAGTCCCGGTAGATTATTGACCAAGAAAACTCCTCTCACTGCGGGATAAAAAACCTAAATTCTTTAGGTTGTTTTCTACCAAACCTCACTTTAATATACCACAACTAATAAGAGGTGTAGAATTCAGATTGAGATTCAGGATGTGTCGATGTGATGCTTAAACTCTGGGTGTTTAAACTGTCTTGTTATGAGACAAATTAGCCGTGGTTAACTTGTCTTACCTGAAACAACGTGATTATATTTTATGTTAAACAAAAAATAAACACATTGGTTAAGACAGTATCTAAGCAATAACTTTAAAAAAAGATTTAGAAAATGGTGAACACGTGGTGCTCCAATGCTCTTAACTTAAAGATAATTTAGGTGAACAGTAGACCTGGATGCTGCAGAGCCTCCCTCTCTCTGGGATACTACAATTACAGTTTAATGCCCTGATCCCCGAGTCCAGACTTTGCTCATAAATACATTTTACCCCAGGGCTACTGACTGCCCCAAGTTTATTAAATGGTTTTTGGAAAAGAAAAAAAAAACTTGCCAAGCACTGCAGCCGACCGATTGAAAATACAAGTACGGGGCAGAGTCCCGGTAGATTATTGACCAAGAATACACCTCTGACTGTGGGATAAAAAACTAAATTCTTTAGGTTGTTTTCTACCAAACCTCACTTTAATATACCATCTGTAAAGGTAGCTGGAGAACCAACTATACATCTACAAAATGACTGTAAAACAGTGACAGCCACTCAGAGGTAAACATCCTACAGTGAGTCAGAGGCACTAAACAAAAAAAATGGAGATGCAGTGTTTGACCTCATGCTGGCTTGGAGGAAACAGTTCACTGGCATTGCACCAGGTCCTCAATTATTCCTGTGCTGCTGCATGCACTGGCCTTTTGTGATACTGACAGCCACCTTACATCTGGTGACTCATCAGAATGTAGCACATCTGAGGCCGACTGCAGAATAATTTAACTGCAAAACAAACCAATGTTTCCCTGAAAGTTTAGCAAAAGGCTGTGTGGCACCAACTTCAAAATATAATTGTCACTGGAGCCGTCTATGGTCCTACCAGTTTGGCTCTGGTTTATCAATATACAATGACACAATTTGTTTATACAGATCAATAATAAAATAAACTAGAGCAACTTTAACATTTAAAAATTGCTTTCTCTTTTGTTACTTTTTCAATAGAGTTCAGTTTTTTAATAAAACAACCAAGCTATTCAAATATCGATCAGTATTTTTTTTTTTTTTGTATTATTTCAGATTTTCTTTTGGGTTTCTACAGTTAAAAATATACATTTTGGATTTATTTCAAACCAAATGTCCAGAGGAGATGTATGACCCTTCAGCAGCAACCTTCATGGGACTTAAAACTCAGGCTTTTTTTTTCCTTTGGGAAAGTGAAATTTCATTAAACCTGTGGGGGGGGAAAGTGAAATTTCATTAAACCTGTGGAGTGTGTAAAAGCCTAAAAGCTTCCACCGATCCCTAATCTTGCACTGAGTGCTGTGCTCACTGTCGTCATAACAACCTTGTCATTTATTGAAGCTCTTAGTGAGGGGAATGTTCTTGTGTATAACAAGTATCAGAAGAATATGTGCTTTAAAAACGAGAGGTGCGTATCAGAGTGACGCAGAAGCGGCTTTCAAATACTGACACAGAGATAGTGATGAACTAAACTGTGATCGCTGTACGACTGTGAGGAACATTAGGGACACAACGAGCCGTGACCACAGACAATGTCCCCACATCACAGGTGATATCACCGTAGTCAACAGTGAGCAGGAAGTAACCATTTTTGTATCTATGCAAATACGCAGGGTGGAGCTGTGCAATGATGTGAAAGTGATGTGTAACTCTGAACTTTCAATGTTTAGTCACCATTTCAAAGTTAGTTCGTGCTGCCCCCCAGAGGTTGAAGCTGAAATTGTTTCAAGTGAGACCAAGCAGCAGTAAGTGCTGTAGAATGATTTTTTTTTGTATTATATGTATAAATATATATATGTACAAATATATAGAGTATATGTATACAGGTGTGATAAAAGTGTTTGTGTTTAAAAGAATAACCAAATAAAAGTCGTTTAATCATAGGACGGTCCAATAGGCTGCAAACCTGCTTCTCTCCTTTTAACCGATGTAGCCAAACGGTGCAGCTGTTACAGCTAATTAATAGTACAGTGATTGTACAGTGTGCTGATTTAAGCTGCAGTGGTCTTCAGCCTCCTGCGACCCGTAACAGGGAAAAACGCTGCAAGAAATGGATGGCTGCTCAGATGACACCTTACACACTGCGGCCAAATTAATCTTGGGCGAATCTTATATTGGAAGACATCTTTTTGAAAAGTTTCAGGTGCAACTACTCCAACACTACTGAGAAGGCAATTTAGAAGTGAACCTTCCTCTGTTAGTTACTCTGTTACTTATTAGTATTAATAAGGACAACTAGGGTTAACTGTTTTTTAGGCAGGTTAAAAACAAAAATACTGTAAGGCTGTTGTTGACTCTGTGGTTTATATATATACAGTGGTTTTGCCATAAGTTTTTGCCATCATATCCTATCGTATCTTATGTATGTTTTATAGTATGATGTCCATGAAGGACTAGCAGCCTTTGACTATTGTTCTGGACAGTGAGAAAAGGAGGAGGCTGGGATTCACAGCTGTGTAATGAAGGTGTTTGTTGAAAGTGTCTGATGTAACATTGTGTGGTTGCTGAAGCAATTCTCTCTCGGCTCATAGAAATCGATTTGCTCTCTGTACCAATTGTACGACA